TGGGAAGGAATTAGCCGATCTCAAGGGTAATGCTGTTTGTCTAGATAATCTGGCAGGTGCAATAGCAAGCCAAGACAATTAAGAAGACTTGGTCCTAATTCTTAACCTTCCACCTACCCTGCAATCTCTCACCCTGATTTATTTTGTTTTTAAGCTTCAGCTGTATTTGGGTAGCATATATTTTGCTGATATATGTAAGGACATAACCGAAGACTTCAGAGGTCTCTGTGAACTTTGCCAGAGCAAAGCAGCCAGAGGTACAAAGAGGTTTTCATGGGATAGTTTTTGGAGGCTGGGAAGTGGACCATTTTGGCCAGACCAGAGGGTTTTAGTAGCAGACTGGTAGGGGACAGGGGGAAAAAGTCTTTTAATTTTACATTAACTAGTATGTATTTTATTATAGAGTTTCACCAAAGAAATATCTTTGGAAAACAGTCTCACAATTGTGTTTAATAAATGAATAAAATGTTTGTTGAATGAATGACACATGAATCTGAAGAAGAGATGAAGACAAGTAGACTAGGTAAGAGTAGACTCATACTAGCGACATTGGCCTAAATAGAGTGGTTTCAGTGGGGGAAGAAAAGACAGGAATACATGGAGACTTGCTGCCCAGTAAGTGCCTGGACAAGTCCCTGAACAGTCAAGAGGTGTGAATACGGAAGCCTGTGACTTTTACCCTCTGGTAAGCTATCAGTGAAACTAACTCATCATTGGACTGACACTGCCTCACATTTCCTGGCCCTCCCTCTTCTCCCATTCTGGCCAACACCCTATCATTGATGACTCTCTTCTAGCTGACCTCTTCCTACAGGGTTTTGTATACCCTAAGAGCAGTGTGGAGGCCAACCTAGAGAGAGATTCCTAGCTCTTCTTCTAGAAGTCAGTGTGGTTCCGAAAGTGTTCTGTTGCTTTATGCTCAACAGCATTTCAGCAACATTATATATCAGCTTCCTGTTTCTGCCTGCCTAGAGATATTAGCCTTCCATCTGATACACTTCTGTCCATGTCTTGGGTACCTGGCTCTTTTCCTATCCTCCCAAATTTTGGGTGCTCAGGATGGGCCTGGTCCTATGACCTAGCCAACCAGCTGGTATACCTTCTATGCTCTCAGAGATCATGCCATCATTTGTCAGAGCACACTCCTGCTGCTCATCTCCCTGGCCTTGTACTAAACTAAGATCTATAATGAATGACCCATCCCATATAATGCCAGGCAGTTCAGCTGCCTGAATTCCAAAATTAAGTCCCCACGCATCTTTGATTTGATTGACTGATAACCTGTATTGGAATCAGACAAAAATTTGACTATATTAGTTTCCTATGGTTGCTGTAACAAACAGAAATTAATTATTTTCTGTTTCTGAAGTGGGTCTTACTAGGCTCCACAGAGTAATGATAATCCAAAAGTAAGAAGAAAATAAAATATTACTTAGCATGGTACACTTGTACCATATGGAAACCCTATAATTTCCAAAACTGATATAAGACCCTGTATATATCATATGGCTCTAGGTCTTAAATACCTCACCAGGGCTAGAATAGCTGAAAAGTTTGATAAGCAAGAGTCCTCTCAAACGTCTCTCAAACATTTTGTTAGTGTTGTGAAACTTCTTATCTCTTAACCCTAAGCTGTATATCTGGTTCCATTGCATATAGATGGATTTAACTTCTTGAAGGAGACTAGGACATATAATTATAATTGATTGTCTTAAAAAAATAGCTGAAATTGACATAATGCAATCACATACAAAAAACTCCAGCCAAGATATAGATAAGGTATATACGCAGGCACACACACATAGTGCTTTAAAACAAGGATAGCCTGGGGTGCCTGGGTGGCTCAGTTGGTTAAGCGACTGCCTTCGGCTCAGGTCATGATCCTGGAGTCCCAGGATTGAGTCCCACATCAGGCTCCCTGCTCAGCGGGGGGGTCTGCTTCTCCCTCTGACCCTCTTCCCTCTCATGCTCTCTGTCTCTCATTCTCTCTCTCTCAAATAAATAAATAAAATCTTTAAAATAAATAAATAAATAAAACAAGGATAGCCTGGGGCATCTGGGCACCTCAGTTGGTTAAGTGCCTAACTGGTGATTTTGGCGATTTTGGCTCAGGTCATGATCTCATGGATTGGGATTACTGAGCCCCAGGCTCAGTGAAAAGTCTATTTGAGATTCTCTCCCTCTTTCCCTCCCCCAACTCACACAGGCACTCTCTCGCTCTTAAATAAATAAATAAATCCTTTTAAAAAATAAAACCGGGATAGCCTTCCATAGACAGATTAAAGTTCAAGTATAATTTAAAAAGCATTGTGTAAGGCTACATCCAAGCCCATCACCAAGAACTGAAATTCAACATTTAATAATGCTTCCCTGGGTCACCTGGCTGGCTCAGTCAGGAGAGCATGTGATTTTTTTTTTTTTAAGATTTTATTCATTTATTTGACAGAGAGAAAGCAAGAAGGGAACACAAGCAGGGGGAGTGGGAGAGGGAGAAGAAGGCTTCCCGCTGAGCAGGGAGCCTGATGTGGGGCTCGATCCCAGGACCCTGGGACCATGATCTGAGCCAAAGGCAGATGCTTAATGACTGAGCCACCCAGGCGCCCCGAGTATGTGATTTTTTATCTCGGGGTTGTAGGTTCGAGTCCCATGTTGGATATGGAGATTACTTAAAAATAAAATCTTTAAAAAATAATAATAATGCTTCCCTTTAGTTTAATTAATTCAAGTACCACAGAGGGGATAATGTAATAAATTTTATCAATGATTGTCTCCAACCCCATTGTACTTAGTGCCTATTAATGGGCCAAGCATGTTCTAGACTCTGTGGGTACAGCAATGAACAAAACAAAGTCCTTGCTGCTATGGACTTACAGTCTAATGAGAGAGCCAAACAAATAATGGCAGGTAGCAGTAAGTGTTATGGAGACAGACAAAGATATGTAACGGATTCAGGAAGGCCTCTCTTAAGAAGAGACTTGAGCAAAGACTTGAACAAAGTAGAGTTGTAAACCAAGTGAATATCCAGCAGAAAGGTGGTCCAGGCTAAAGGAACAAATGTGCAACTCTATGAGGTGGAATATGGTTGGCATGTTGGAGGAATAGCAAAGAGACCAGTGCACTTGAAGCAGAGTGATCAAGGAGCTTTTTATTCATCTATAGAAACTCTCTGTATTTACCCCGTGTAGTTATGATACCAATTAGATGCAGTTAAATTCACTTGTTTCATTTACTTTCAATTTGGGGGGATTTTTTAAACATTTACTTTCATAAATGGTTTGCATGCTTCCAAAATCAAATCTACAAAGCAAAGTATAATTCAAAGAAGTCTAGCTTCTATTCTTATTCCCTCTAACCTATTTCTCTTCCCATGGGTAACCATCTGTTGATGGTTGAAAAACCTTCTAGTTTTTCAACATAGGAAATACATTTGTAATTCCTTCCACTTCTTAGATGCATTAACATCCATCACCATCTCTCCACCCTACCTTCTGAGGTAAATGGTAGCGTACTATAAAAATATGGAATATTTGAGTTTGTGTGTTGTCCTTGCACAGGGACCATGTTAATCTTCTCTATCATTATAATGCTGGTATATGTGCTGCTGAAGCAAGCACTAAGAGATGAATATTTTACATGGGTAAGAGTTCAGAAGCTGGACTCTGCCGGGAGAGAGATGGCTTCAGTAGGTGCCACCGTGGAGAAACTTGCATAGTCAATAGTCACCATGAAGATAGCAGGTGCCTGCAGAAAGAACAAGTGGCTCGGGATGGACCAAAGGCATTGAAAAAAGAAGTGAAAAAGGAACTGCAGATGGACATTGCCTACTTCACAACTCCAACTTGAGGCTGCTTCAGTTTATGAACCATTCCTGCCAATATTATGTTGTCTCAAAAGAATGGATCAATAAAGGGTGCTAATGTTTTGGTTTTTCAATGAATTCATTAAGCACATGAGAGTATAAACTCAGAGTCCTTCATAAACACATAAAAATGTTTGAACAAACCCATGTCACAAACCGAAAAATGTTCCTCAGTTTCTCTTAGTTTGAATTCTGCAATACTAGAAAGAAAAGGCATTCTAGAGGTCATTCTAACTTGTCCAAAGAAACTAATATCTTAGTCAAAAGAGAAGAACAAAAAAATTATTTCAAATTACTTTGTATATACTAAGCCCCTTATATATTATTGAGCAAAAATGTATTGAGTGACTACTATGTTTAACTCTGTTAGGTGCTGTAGAAGACATAAATAGAATTAGACCTTATCCTTGCCCTTGAGAATCTTACCATCTGTGCCAGTTATTAACTTATGGCTTCTCAGCTACAAATCCATCCTTCTTTGCCTTGCTTCGTTATTCTAGAGCTGGACCCTGCAGGCATTTCTGCTTTGACAACTGGCAAAATGTTAGGCATTGCCAGGAGAGGGCTATGGAAAGACTCTGTGAGGCCAGAGCTGGAGGAACCAACTTTTCTTTCTTCTGGTGTGGAGCCCATCGGTTGGTTTGCAAGAGAGGCCTGGTTATGTGCACCTCAGCAGTCTTCCTGGTTTATTTGTGGCTGGTACCTCCAGCAAGTTCCTTCACCACAAGTTGACTATAAGTTCCTGTGACAGCCATGCCCTCTCCTCTAAATTTCCAAATTCTTCCTCTCTGTTCATTCTTCCTTAGCCAAGGGTAGTAGCTATTCCGACAGTTGCTACTTCTGCACCCCTTAGAATCCACTCTATCCTTCTTAGTAGATACCTTTTATTGGTTAACAATCTTTACATTAAATTTTCTTTGTCAAATTACTAAAATGGTTTTGTCTCCTAGTTGGTCCCTATCAGATATACCAGATATACCATGGAATATGGAAAAAAGACAGTCCTAAATTAATGTAAATTCTGTGGGAGGAGGGCTATTTCTGCTGTAATCACAGACTAAAGACCAAAAGGCATCAGAGATGTAGACCCATTAGTCTGTGTTGTGTTCAGCTGTATATAACAGAAGACTGACCTCAGTGGCTTAAGCAAATAGAGGTTTTTTTTCTTGTATAACATGAAGTCCATAAACAGACAGTAAATAGCAGCTCTAGCTACTTAAAAAAAAAAGTTAAGAACTCAATCTCCTTTCCATTTCCAACTTCTCCATCCTTAATGTTCGGTTTCTGTACTCACGGGTACAAGATTGTTGCTTCACCTCCAGACATTGGATCCATATTCCAAGCAGGAAAAAAAAAAAGGGAAAGAAAAAAAAGAAATGAGCCAGTTGAAGTTATACCCTTTGTATACATTCTTAGAGGCAATACCAAGTAACTTTAACTCACATATCACTGATCATTCTTAACTGTAAGGAAACCTGGGAAGTTCAGTATTTTTTAACTGAACAGGGTTCTATAACCAAGAAAGAAAAGGAGAACATATGTTGTATAGGCAACTAGCCATAGAAAGATTAAGTGAAATTAAGTGAAAAATGGGTAACTTACATACTCTTTTATCTATTATTGAAGTACAGTTGACATACAATGTTTTATTAGTTTCAGGTGTACAACATAGTGATTCGACAAGTCTATACATTCCTCAGGACTCACCACAATAAGTGTAGTCACCACCACAATAAACATATGTCACCATATGTTATTAAGATATTATTGACTATATTCCCTATGCTGTGCCTGATGGACAAGAGGCAAAAGAGGGACTTGATCTCATATCTATATACTTACTCATTTTCTTCTAACATAGTCTTTCTATATTAATTATCAACTGTGATATAAAATTGTCTTTTTCCTCAATAACTAGCATATCTTACCAGAAAAAAAGGATGTAATAATATTTAATATATTAGTATATCGTTTTCATGTAATTCTTTAATATAAATTTTAGCCTGGACCATCTGGACCTCTGAAAGGCCATAAAAAGATACATTTACTTTTAATTCCTTACTAAATCTTTGGAGTCATTTAGTAAATATTTATTCCATGGCATGAAAGTAGCTAAATAATTTGTAAAGGAGTCAAAAATGAAGATTAAGGACAAAAATTTCTGCACTCGAAAGTGATTAGTAGCCTAGACAGTGTTAGGTTTTATATAAAGGATACCAAGAAATGTTTTCTTTCTTTTTTTTTTATTAAAAGATGTTATTTATTTATTTGAGAGAGAGAGCATGATAGAGCATGAGCGTGGGGTGGGGGGGAGAGTGGTGCAGAGGGAGAAGAAGAAGCAGGCACCTTGATGAGGGGCTCAATTCCAGGACCCTGGGTTCATGACCTGAGTCGAAGGTAGACGCTCAACCAACTGAGCCATCCAGGCGCCCCCCAAGAAATCTTTTCTAAACAAATCAGCCCATCTCTCTCATCCGAGCTCAAGTCTGTCTCAGTGAGGCACTTTCTAAGCAGGCCAATCTCTTTTCTGAAGGTGTTTCCCTTATTACACACCATACAACATAGTCCTAAAACAGTTACTAATTTGTGTTTTTCTCCAATTTTTTATATACCAGTTCAATTTTTCATATACCCCAATTATAATGTAAACTCTTATATTTTCCTGTATACTTACTATGTTCAAAGAGGACACAGTATTTATTTGGAGCTCACCTTGACTGAATGATCCTATAGCATTAGTACAGGTTTAGAGGTTCATCTTCCTAAAAAAGATAAAATGATAGAAAATTAAGACCAATAATACGAAACAAAATTTTAATAAGAAAAGCAAAATAGTTTTATAACAAAGCCCAGAATATTTTTAACTTCCATTTCTGATTTTTGTTTCCACAAATAATATATTTTTAAATCACACTAATGTGAGAAGGCTGGTGAAAACTTCACAGGCTATTAAAATGGAAACTTTCAAAAGCAGATAATTTAAGCATCTTTCCATGTGTCCAGGTTAGAGCAATCTTATAATAGTTTTACAATAACAATCCTACCCCACCCCAGAATTTCAAGGAAAGGGGAGTCAGTGCACAAAACATGTGCTTCTATCTGATTTGCTCTGAGTTATGCCTGGAATTCTGAACTGAAATTGCCCACATTAAGATGCTGCTGCCTCCTGATTACTTTAAAAAATTAATTTAAAAAGGGGCACCTGGCTGGCGCAGTGGGTGGAGTATGCAGCTCTTGATTCAGGGTCCTGGGTTCGAGCCCCAGTTGGGTGTAGATATTACCTTAAAAAGAAAAAAAAATGCTGCTGCCACCACATGGATCTCAAAGGAGTGGATTTGTTTTTAAATTTTTTTAAAGATTTTATTTATTTGAGAGAGAGAGCACATGAGAGGGGGGGAGGGTCAGAGGGAGAAGCAGACTCCCTGCCAAGCAGGGAGCCCGATGCGGGACCCGATCCAGAGACTCCAGGATCATGACCTGAGCCGATGGCAGTCGCTTCACCAACTGAGCCACCCAGGCGCCCAGGAGTGGATATTTTGAAGACAGTATCTTCTTGTTTCAGTTATCTCTTGCTGTGTAACAAACCACCCTAAAACTTCGTAGCTTCAAACAATAACCTTTTCATTGCTCTTGATTCTGTGGGTCAGGAAATTTAGGCAAGGCTCATTTCTCTTCCATGTGGTGTTGGCTGGGAAGGCTTGATTGAAGCTAGAAAACCCAACAGGGCCTCACTCAAATGTCCGGGGCACCTCAGTTCTCTTTTATGAGACTTTTTTTCTGTCCAGAAGGTTTCTTATCTACTAGTCTTATCTAGTAGTCTAACCCATGTTTCTTGATGTGATGGTTGGCTTCCAAAGAGAAAATGAAAGCTATGAGACCTCTTATTAGTCCAGAAGTCACACTGTCACTTCTCTGGGTCAAAGCAAGTCATAAGATTAGCCCAGATTTAAGGAGAAGGAAAACAGACTCCATTACTTGATGAGTGGCAAAGTCACATTGCAAAGGGGCATGCAGGATAGGAGGGATTATTGCACTTACATTGGGAAAAGGATTTTCTATACTTCTCTTTACTGCCCCATTCCTTTCTTCTCCATGCCATCTTCACTCAGGCTTATCACATAATACCAAACTATGATGTCATCACTTAAGATGATCATCTCTAGGGTGCCTGGGTGACTCAGTCAGTTGAGCGCCCGACTCTTGATTTTGGCTTAGGTTGTGATTTCAGGGTCATGAGATCCAGCCCCCACCCCCCAGTAGGCTCCCAGCTCAGTGTGGAGTCCGCTTGTCCCTCCCTCTGCCCCTCCCCCAGCTCGCACTCCTGCTGGCACATGCACACATGTACTCTCTTTCTTTCTCTCTCTCTCAAATAAATGAATAAATAAAATCTTAAAAAAAAAAGATGATCATCTCCACTATTTAAGAAAAAAATAGAGAATTGAATACTTCAAAAGAAGTCCCCTGTGCATCTTTATGGTCTCACTTTACTCCTCTCAGAAGGTGACATTTTTCTTCAACCTTCCTCAGTGCAAATATTCACCCTCTAGCAACATGGGTTGGTATCACTCAAGATCCACTTTGTCACACACACACACACACACACACACACACACACACACAAGCCGTTCTCACAGGTAGCACTATCTGTTCTTTGAACACCTAATATTCTTCATAAATAAACTTTAACTGATCGAACTCACCAAGGACCTACTATCTCCTCTTCTAGGCCAGTTCACCTGCTTACTGACATATTGACAGTCAGAGCCTGGACTTAGACCGAACGTCTCCCTGTCATAGGCACCTAGCCCATATGCACCCTGGAAATGATCCTCTTAGGGATCTCAGCTTCTCTCCTGCCTCCTCTTCCTCTTCAACAGTTACTGCTACTGATTTATGGCTGAGGAGATAAGAACCTCCCTTAAACCATCTCTGTACACAAACCCATCTAGGATAGTTCGTCCCTTATGAGGATCTATTATTGAAGAATGGGATATGTGATGGTTAATTTTGGGTCAATTTGACCGGCCATGGGGTGCCTAAATTAAATGTTATCTCTGGGTGTGTCTGTGAAGGTGTTTCTGGATGAGATTAGCCTTTAAATCAGTGGGCTCATAAAGACTGTCCTCCCCACTCTGGGTGGGCATCATCCAATCCATTTAGGGTCTGAATGGAACAAAAGGCAGAGGAAGAAAGAATTTGCCCTTTTCCCCCCATCTCACTATTGAGCTGGGACATCTCATCTCATCTCATTCAGACTGGGAATTACAAGTGGCCTCCCTGGTTCTCAGGCCTTCAGATTCTAACTGAATTATACCACTGGTTTTCCTGGGTCTCCAGCTTGGAAATGCAGATCACGGGACTTCTCAGCTTCCATAACCACAATGTGCTAATTCTTCATAATAAATAAATAGATAAATCAAAAATTAATCAATTAATCTCCTACTGGTCTGGTTCTCCGGAGAACTCTGATGAATGCAGAGCATTGTTTATTCTACTTTAGACATCACAGGATACTACATCCTTCAGGTAAGAATTGAGTGCTTGAGAAAATAATCCTTCTTAAAACTGCACATGTGAATTCAAATGAATTATCTATTTTATCAGCTGAAGATTGAGCCTAAAATGATTAGCTTTCACATGATTTTGAATCATTTGCATTTGAAGTTGGGTCAGTGACAAAATCTTATTCATTCTTCATGTTTCAATTCTGAGGGCTTCTCCCTAGGGTTGCCACTAGATGATACCACACCTTTGTGCTAATTAGAAAAAGGGTGATCCTCTGGGTGGACATTGTCCCATGCCAAGACTCTAGGCCAAGTGGGTGGGATTTCAGTCCCCTGCTATCCCTTCAACTGGGCATACTAGATGATCAATCTTTTATGTTGACTAGTATCACTTCCAGTAGAACTACTAAGAACAACTTAGTAAAATTTACAGAATTTGAGGATCTACTAGAAGTTCAGTAAGAGCCATTTTTTTCTGAGACATTTCTGTATTCATCAAAGAAAATGATTTGTCCAATCATTTGGACAAAAGCAGGTGCTAAAGTTGGGTCGGTTTTGAAAATACTCGGACTTTTCTTTAGTCCCATATAATACATCACATCTCTTAATTCTTCCAAGCATACAGCTGGAGGAAAAATTACCTCCCTCACTTTACCAAGCGGCAACTTTGTGCCCAAAGTCACAAAACTCTTTGACCTATTCATGTGCTCATTCCTTTGTCCCAGTACTTCTTTGTCAGGTCCTGTCACTCAAAGGAGTAGCCATATTTTTGGAATACTTTAACAGATTCCTTCAAGGAAATGTATTCGCTTTGCTGGGGACCCTAATTTCTTCTGTCAAGCAGTGCATGAACTCTTTCCCCACGCACACACAGAGTCCTATTTCACAGAGCAGGAGAATGACCAGGAAGGGGGCCCCTCTAGTAAAGAGAAGTAACAACTGATTAAAAAGCCAAATCTCAAAAAAAAAAAAAAAGTCAAATCTCACAAGGTGTCAACTGAAAGAAAAAGTCGCACTATCCTCTGGCCAGCTTAAATCAAAAGAGAAACAACCTGTTCAGTTCTCTCTGCCAGGGCCAGTTTTCAATTTCCTCTTTTTGCCTCTCCTTTACCAGCCACTGCCCGCCAGCCCACCTCTGTGTGGCTGTCGTTGTCCTTCCCAACTAGTTGCCAATAAAGTTGTTACAAAGTGACCTTGAGTGTCTTCCCTACTGCCCCCGTTTCCCCGCCTTCTCCATCCGGGTGCCGCGGCGCGGATAAGAGGCGGACCGCGCCTGCGCGTCCAGCGCCACTCCTTCGACCTCTGCCGCCGTCGCTGCCGCTGCCGCTGCCGCTGCCGCCGCCACCACCTCCGGGGAAGGTAAGCGGAGGGCGCGAGAGCCGGGCCTGGCCGGGGCGGAGCAGCGCTGGGTCAGGACCCATTCATTCAGCTCGCGCCTCGCTGGACGAGGGCCCAAGCCGACGGCGTGCACGGGAGCCCGCGGGACCTGGGTGGGAAGGACAGGCCCGGGAGGGCACTTGACCTTATGCCCCTTTACCTCCGCAGAAGGGAAGCGGGAGTGGAGCCCACGTCGGCCGTCACCCAGGTCCTCCAGCCGCCCTGCCCCGAAGAGTGTAAGATGTTCGCCTGCGCCAAGCTCGCCTGCACCCCCGCTCTGGTGCGTAGTCCAGGCTGGGCCGGGGCGCTGAGGGCGGACCGCTTGGCCTGGAGCGTCCACGTTGTTGAATGGGGCACCTCTGGGCGGGGCACACCAACCTGTGGGGACCGCGCACCCCGCACCCTGTATGTCCTCTTCTTCCTTTCCTACTAATCCTGGGGCAACTCACTTCGCTTCTCCCCTCCACTAGTGCGGTGGAGAGTAGCCGAGGCCTAGTTGTCAGGCCCCACTCGCTGTAGGTCAAACCCTCCTTGCCCCTAGTGCCGGAGCGGCCCCCTCCCCCTCCTCCACGGGTATTCTGTGGGGTTGGGGTCGGCGCGAAGGTTCGGGTGGTCTTAAGGATGTAGGGGGCCTCTGAGGCCTAGTTGACCGCAGCAGCGTTCTCCCTTGCCTATCTGTAGGTCAAACTCGCTCCTGCAGAGGGAGGGACTTTGCCTCACCCTGTGTGGGCGGAGGAAGAGATGGTGGAGACGAAAGTCTTTCTTCCTGCCTCTGGCTGTTATTTCCATAAGCATTTTGGAAAAGCTTTAGGTGAAGTAGGATGTGGGGGATTTGTTTTAGAGAATCAGGTCTTGGTTCTGAAGGCATTTTATGTGACCTT